TACTCGGACCAAGATAATTACAATAACATATTATAGTCGATGAATCCCTGTACTGAAACCCACCATATAACAAACCTTGAACTCCACAAATTTACAGTTAAACAAAGAACCGTGAATTTACAAAGTCGAGCCAAGTGCTCACAGCCTTTAGTTTTTTTTTTATCAGTCTCTAAACAGCTTTTCTCTTCTTTTCTGATTCCATTTAGTCACGCTATGTGCCGGCCGAACTTACACTGGCCCCGCGCACGGACCAGAAGGCTCTGATTTCAGCTCTGGCAGCGAGAGTGGCGATGAGCTCATCCTTCGGGCCGGTCGTAAGGCTCGTTAGTTAGGGCGAGTGTCGGGATGGGAGAGGGGGGTCTGTGGGCGTCCGTGAGCCAGAGGGGAACAGATGCTGCACTGGAGATGAGCGTCCAGGGACTTTTATATTGCCCGAGCTGAGCCAAACCTTTGGTGTTCTTGTGTTGCAGAGGGATAGCCCCAAAACCATTAGCCAGTGTGTGGGAGAGCAGTAACCAGATTATAGGGAAGATATGAAAGACCTGTCGATGTTGCCTTGCTCTCAGTTATTGACGGTTTGTCGGAAATGCAGAGTTAGCAAATGGAATTTACATCTATGAATATCGACCATCTCATAATTGTGTCTCATTTTACCTGTTTTTAGTGTTAATCAGGCATGTTTTAGTAGTTCTGCTGGCAAATTCTGTTTTCACTGCCGCATGTACACGCCCACTGGCCCAGGATTTGGTGCTGGAAGTGCGCACTAGATATATTTCGGCTTACTTCTCTCTGGTTTTGGTTCTGTTCCTGTACTTTTTTATTCAGTTAAACTTGGTCCCCTCCATCTCTCCACAATTTGATCTGACTGTTGCTATGCTATGATACATTTCTTATAAAGGCGTGGCTTTTCTCTGTGCTCTTAAATGCATCTTCTGGCCTTCGGTTTAATCATAAACTGTATATATTAACGGACATAGTCACGCCTATCTCCGCCGTTCTAACTAATGGGCCAAAAAATGTGCTCTACTGGAGCAATCCAAAATGGGCGCGAGTGGTCCCGCCCACAAGAAAACTGTGAAAAAACGCATCTGCGCATGCGTCAGCCGGCGCAGCTCCATTCATTTGAACGAGAGACTTCAGAAATTCACAGCAATTAAACTAGAGTGGACCAAAAAAATCCACCCCCCTCAGCATTGACACACATGTGGAACGGAGCTTTGGGCCAAGAGCCAACTTTTGGTCCATCCTGTAAAGACGTTTTTGAGAGGTCTGCCAATGCTATATGTTAGCATTGGCTAATTCTTCTTCTGGGTCCACCCCCATCGGCCCGGGGTGGTATTGCAAGCATGTCAGCGCACGTCATTTTGGCCACTTTTGAGCTGGGACCCGCCCCCACTGGGTTTAATGCATACATGCCAGCGTGGTTTGGTTCAGTTACACTAAAAGGACTGGTTTTTCACATAGCAAAATTGCTGGTGGTGGGTCTGTTTTTTAATACTTACATATCATAATTTTATTGTACCAGGTCAGGTGGTCAACAATATGCATTGTTTTGAAAATTCAATACATTTTCTGATGCAAGCATTTTCCCCTTAAAGTGCAATTTTTTATATTCAATACATACATATATATTTACGTATACCGTGTTGTGGTGGAGTTTAAGTTGACACAATATGTGGGACCCTGGCGACATTAACAAATGCCATACTTTCCAGACAAAACCGTTGCATCACCATTATTCTGTTGATCTGGTTCACTTTAAATGGACCACGTCTAGTTCATTTGGGGGAAAAGGGGTTCGCAGATCTGTTTCAAAAGATGTTAACTTGTAGACTTGTGGATACATGTTCACTTGTTTGGTGGTTGTACCTACAGAAATACAGCATTTTTTTCCTAAAGTGAACCATGGTCCAGTAAAAGTGACCCAGACCAAGTGTAAACTTGCCCAAAGACTCTCCTCCGGTCATAACTACATATGTAATAGTTACACCAAATGGTCACTCAGTATAAACCTGTTACTATCATTGATTATAGGTAGAGCAATACATTTTGGGGCTCAATATTTATTGTGTGTGTATTTTAATACAATAGTTAATTTTGTTATTTTTGTAGTATGAAATGTTATCAAATGTTTACGATAGGCCTAAGTAAGTAAGTAAGTTTTTATTTATATACCGCCTTTTCACTGCAGATCTGAGTCTCAAAGCGGTTTACAATTGTTAATTTTTGGGCATTTGTCTCTCACTCCACACAGAGATGGGAGCAGGGTCGCCAGTACAGGAAGCGTATGCCAGAACTATTAGACATATTTTTAGTGGTAGGGGAAACCGGAGTACCCGGAGGAAACCTACGCAGACACTGGGAGAACATGCAAACTCCACTCAGAAAGGCCCTGGTCCGACCGGGATTCGAACCCAGGACCTTCTTGCTGAGAGGCGAGAGTGCTATCCACTCAGCCACCGTGCTGCCCGAAGTATGTGACTTTCAAAGGTAATCATTGTTCCATTAGGTTACTTTTCAAATCTTTTTGTTTCCAGTGGCGTCTTGGGTAATCTTATCCATGTTTATTATATTGATAATACATAATAGTATAATTATTATTCTTGTCTTACAATGTTACCCAGTTTTGTGCTTCCGAATGTTGGTGACGGTCCTATTTTAATGGCTTTAGTGGACTCACACGGCTCCATTATATTTCAATTAAGTGCCTCACAATGGAACAAAGAAGAAACGTCCCCAAAGAAATGTTTTGCAAGAGGAGGCCCTAAAAACAGACTCATGAAGATATGACAAAAGATTATTTGAACAGTTTTAACATAGACAGAAAGAGGGCTGGAGGGAAGCAGCACAAGTGAATTACTGATTGCAGAGAGCTAATAGCCCCAGACCATTACAGCCATTTCATAGGGCAGCTTTTATTGCCCTCTCCCATTACCTACCCACACACACACAAGCTAACGTTCCGACCACAATGCCTCTACCTGCACATAAAGTTCAAAGGGGTTATTAACCACATACGCCCCGTTATTAAAATGTATACGCTCATAAAGTTTCATTACACATTAGAATACATGGGCGTCCACAGCTGCTTTGCGATATGCTGCGGTTGGGCCCCTTTCACAGTGGCTTAGAGTTGACCTGAGTGCGTTCACGGTCTGTTTAGGGGCTAAGCTGTGATTAGGGTAAACAAGCAAGACATTGTCCCGCCCCCTGATCTCTGCCCTCTGAGCGCTGCAGGTAAGGGCCACGCAAAGACAGAACAAGGAGAGAAAACAGAGCCACAACAGAGAGAGAGGAGGTGTGTGCATGAGTAGGTTCATTGTATTTGTGTAAAAAGTTGTCAATAAGATATTGGATTTTAAAAACTAGGATCAAACCTGGTGTTTTTGAGAATGTAGCAATAGCAAAATACTGCAAAAAAAATTACATAAAGCTGGTGTAACCTTTAAATCCAGGCAAAAACTGGGGTAACAAATATTGTATATTGTAAACTATGTCATAAGATACATTTAACTCGTCTTGGCTCAAAACAGGTCAATTTTCAGCTTCAATTACTGTCTTATTTGGTCTCTGTCACATCTTTGGATCAGCTTTTTAAGACAGAGAAGTGAAAAATAAAAAAACGCCCTCACACAGCCAATCAGATGTCACCCCAAAGAATCAAATAGTGACTCACAAAGCTCTCAGTATGGAAAAGATAACATGTTTTCTATTAAGAAGACAATATTTAACTTTTAAGATACTCTTTCTGTCGGGACAAACACCATGGATTATTCATGAAGAAAAAGAGCTTGGTTCCCCAGATTTAATGCTATAGTATTGGATATTCCTTGAGCAGTTTTAGAATTTATATCCAAACTATGAGAACATGCTGTGGTATCATAAAAAAGTACCAATATATATGTGTTACAAATCCCATGTTAAGCCCTATTCCCATGGTATGGTATTTTACAGGACCTGGTGTCAATTGTAATCATTACAGACATCCTCTGTTTCTAGACTTGTGCCAAATGTCTGTAAATACATAACGTTTCCCACTGAATTTTACATCCTGTAATTCAGCGAACTCAGCAGTTCTCAAGGGAAATATGTTGTTTGGATCATCACTGAGTTTTGAGCCTGTTTGATATTGTTGTGTGTCGTATTTCACAGTGTGAATATGTGACAGGTAATTCTAAAAAGGGTCACTTAGCAACCATTCTCGTCTAAACAATGGCCAAAGCTCGTAATTTACATTAAGTCAATCAAGTTTAAGCTGCAAGATGAATGTGATCCTCGCACATGCATTTCTTATTCTCACCAAATTCCATAGGGTTTGAATTTCAGAGGGTAAAAAATATGATAAATAGTACTGTGTGTTCTTGGTGGCACAAGAAAAACTTGCATATCATTATAGTCAATACTATCAATAGACACATAATTTAACTTTTTTTCCTGCTAATCATTAAGTTGTGCTTAGAACAGCTATGGCCCAACCAGATTAAGGCATCAACCCTGGACACCCTGTAGTTTGTGTTTCTCTCAGCTGGCCAGGGAACGCCAGGATTCCCACAGATGAGCTGAGAATGTGTGAGGGGATAGGGAAATCTGGGCGTCTCTGCTCAGACTTCTGCCTCGCTGATCCGGCAACAGATAAAGTGGAAGAAAATGGATGGATATAGAAAATATGTTTCTTCCAAATAATCATTTTTATCTCAGTAAGATATTGCTTGTTTGAGTTGTAATGCAGAAGATGACAGGTACTTAATGATTGATTGAAATAAGATACATTTATATGACTTTTAAAAACGTTTTTTAAAACAAGATTTTTCAATGGTACGAGAAAAAAGGTCTTGTTTTGCAGACAGGCTACTTTTCACCAAAATTGAGACATAATTACTCATTTGTAATAGTAAAACTGCATGTCCCATTAGCCGAATGTACTCAACTAAAACCTGTTTGATTTGAGAGTTTATCACCTTAAATACATTCATAGTTACAAAAGTGATCTGGCCTCTTACCAGAGTTGTCTTCCAGCTCGCGCTCGTCCGTGCAGACCCCCTGCCCGTGCATCAGCGAGTGCAGAGGTTTTTCCACCCCCCGTGGCGGGTAACAGCGGAGACCCGTACCACAGCGGGCTGAGTACACCCCACAGTGCGCTCCTTTGGGCAGGGCGCAGGTAGGACAGCACCCGCACCCCGGCTCCCTCACGGTCTCCTCGCACCCATCCGGCAGGCGGCACGCGGCCAGCTTCTCCTCCGTGCAAATGGGGCATCGGATGGCCGGGTCTGACATCCCTAACGCGGCCAGTGACAGGGCAAACCACAGTGCCCACAAGCAGGATGGAGCCCCACGCATCACGGCAGCTCCTCACCTGCGCTCACAGCTACGGGAAGATAGTGCAAAAGCCTTTTTCTTCAACAGTCACTGCACAAAAAGCGAGTAAAATCAGTTGCTGCTTGGTCCAGGATCTTTGATATCTACTGCAGGTCTCAATTGCAAGGACACAATGCCACTTCTGTGCTGCCACTTTTGCTCCTCTGATTCAATTTCACAGATTAAATTCAAGCCGGCGTTAGTTCAAACTGGTGAATGCAGGTGGCACAAACTTCTTTAGCCTTGGCATGGGCAGTTGCAGAGTGGTTATCCTATCCGGTGGCAATGCCCAGTCTTGTTTTTTTGTTTGAAGTCTGCTTTGGTTGGAGCTCTGCAAAAAATAAAAAATACAAAGAATACAAAAAAATCTGTTAAGTTTTGCAAGAGCTGCGGGGTGTAAGTGCCTTGCTGGTCTGTGTGTAGAGCAAAGGACTGGCTCAACACAAGTGGCTCTGCTTGGACTTTATACTGGTCCAAGGACACGCCTATTTTGTACAGAGAGAGCAAGCAGCTGAAAGAGAGGCAGCCTCTCTGTCTCACTGCTGCTGCTGCTGCAAGAGGAAGAAAAAACTCACACTTGTTGTTCACATGCATAACCATCTAACCATGCGTTTTATCATTTTTCCTCAACCCCTCAGATGTCTTTTAACGATCGCTCTAAGCTTTTGGATGTATTATGGAGAAAAAAATAGCATGTCGTTAGCAACAACAAATTCCACTCCATTTTAATCAAGTCCAACTGGCTCACACATGTACTGTAAGTGCCTCCAGGGTCAGCCCCTCTTAAAAACCACATCCCCCACCACCTATTCTCATTACATTGTCTCCCACATCGCTCCCCTCTCCCCCTCTGCTCTCACAACTAACCCGAGCACCCAGCTATAAAAGGCAAATGGACAGTGAGTGTGTGTGCCCCCCCATCTCCAGCAAGATGGAGGGGCACACTCACTCCCTTGAACTCCCTCGAGCTCCTTTCATATAAACTGTAAAAAATATATAAATAAAAAAGACAATAATGTCATTGAAAGTAAGAAATATCCTCTCTATGTGGATTTTTGTCTTACTACTTTCAATTCATTTTTGGGTTGCCCTAAATCACAACAGCAGTCAACTTGAAGGGCGTCAAAGAATTCTCGATTCACATACAGCAGATTTGAAAATGAGAAATTAGAACACATAAGAAGTACAATAATAAAATCTGTAAAAGTCATTGGTCCCTTGGATAACGCGATAACCAATCTACCCTAACCCTATCTTATGCTGGAGATTTTATTTTATTTTAGAGTGGAGGAATTAATCTTTTGACTTGTGCAGTGTGCAACTCAATCCTACTGTTCTGTAACATGTAACACTGAAATTTTCCCACTGTGGGACGAATAAATAAGGATCTAATCTTCGGAAAACAAGTTACGTGTTATTTCAAGTTAGCTCTGGTGGAAATGTTGAGATAAGTTTTCTCTTTCCAACAAGAAAAAACAATACCAGAATAATTTATTGTCATCGTCACAACCCCCACATTGCCCGTTGGGGTGAGGAGGGGGGGAAGTGTTCATTGAGCAGTCTGACAGCTACTACTAATACAGTATCGTTATGCCATTGGCAAATCCTACACTCAAATGAAGAAATATACAACTTGTTTCAATCCGTTATTAACTTATTATTATTACTTTTTTTGGGGCGACAGTAGCTCAGGGGCGACAGTAGCTCAGTTGGTAGAGCATTGGCCTTCAGGCCTGAAGGTCGTGGGTTAAATTCCCACCTTGACACCTTCTCCACCGACTCCCACTGATGACTGCTGTCGTTGTGTCCTTGGGCAAGACACTTAACCCCACTTTGCCCAAAGCCCCCACTGAAAGATCAAGGCTATGCTCACACTCAGAGCAGCCGTCCTCCTGTGGACTCACCACCTGCAGAGGGTCAGTGAGGGGCTGGTGCTATGAGACTTGGGTGGCATCTCTGACTGCCACCCCCCTGACCCAGAAATGGATTAAAGGGTAGAAAATGGATGGATGGATATTACTTTTGTTACTTTTCCTATTTTTTTTTTTGCAGTGAAATCTCTGTAGGCCTTCTTTTTTTTTTTGCAATGCTGCAGTTTTTAATATGTCCGCACCCTTGAGATCATGAAAGACTGGGTAAAAGACTGTAAATCCTTCCCCTACTTTGTTCTGTCCGTGCTAAGACCTCCGCCCGGCCCAAATCATAAGGTTTTATTGAGCCCTGTTCCCTCTGTTCCTTTGCCTGCACTTTGCCATGGAAACCCAGCACGTATTGTAATGCTTTTGTGAGAGGTGCTTTCTCTGCTCTCACTCTCTCTCTCTGAGGCTTTCTTCTTTTTTCTTGAAGCTGGTGGCCGGTTGCCATAGGCGGATCATGGTCTGAAGCCAGCAGTGCGAACAGGGCGAGAAGGCGACCCATTCACACAGGTGGGTGCAACAAAGCGAGGTAATGACACAGCACCCACCGACGTCCAGCTAATCAAACAACACGACAAGTTATGTGACCTTGGAGAGGATTTTGGTAGAAAGAATTCCAATAAAAGACCAAAAAATATATACTTTCATTTTAGTTTTGTCTGTGTTATGTGTTGTCTTTGTATTGTCTGTTATATGGACCTTGACCGATTTTATATTATGTTATTATTATACCTATTTGTATGTAATTTGTTATAAATATGCAGTATTTTTGTACCTATGGAGTTTCAGGTCTCCAAGGTTTACAGCTCTATTATTTAGTAAAAAATAAGTGAGGAAATATGGAGTCAGCTTTTTAGTTTTAGGAAGCCATCATCTCTCAAGTCTTCCTGAAAATGTGAAACAGGCTTCTACTCTGACAATGTTGAAGTCAAATATTAAAACTTACCTTTAGCTGTGCCTTACTTAAACATTTGATCCACATTCTTTGTCTTGTACTGTGATTATGTATGTGTTTATGATTTCAATATCCTTGTATGATTCCCATTCTTGTTTTGTTTGGCACTTTGCATTTCAATTTGGAGAGACGAGAAACAGGAAGTTGAGTATTTTATGAAAGGAGGTTTGGCGCCCTAGGTCCCGGTGCGGCCTTCGGATCGGAAAGGCTCCTGCGATGAGCGCGCACAATCCCCCGGGACCTAGGCACTGGTGGCGGCATTTGGCAGCGGGAAGAAAATTGAAGGCAGGTTGGAGGCAGGGTGAAGAGGAGGAGGAGGGGAGGCGGTGGTTGCGAGGCTTCAGGAGGCCGGTAGTGGGAGTTGCTCCGTTTTTATGCGGCTGCGAGTTGGTACAGATGATTGGAAGGGGGCGTCTGCTGAGCGATAGGCTGGGGATGAGAGGCCGGCCTGGAGGGGGTAAATTTGGTTAACGTCTACCAAATTGAATTTTCGCGGGCTGCATTTCAATTTGGAGAGACGAGAAACAGGAAGTTGAGTATTTTATGAAAGGAGGTTTGGCGCCCTAGGTCCCGGTGCGGCCTTCGGATCGGAAAGGCTCCTGCGATGAGCGCGCACAATCCCCAAAAAGGCTGCGTGTTGATGGAGTTTTCGAAGCCTGGTTTGGAGGGGACAGACGTCGTGACTACTCTATTCTGTGACCGCTATCGCTATATGCTGTGACCGCTATCGCTATATGCTGTGACCGCTATCGCTATATGCTGTGACCGCTATCGCTATATGCTGTGACCGCTATCGCTATATGCTGTGACCGCTATCGCTATATGCTGTGACCGCTATCGCTATATGCTGTGACCGCTATCGCTATATGCTATGACCGCTATCGCTATATGCTGTGACCGCCAGCGCAATGCTGCTAACCATTTTTTGCTATATGCTGTGACCGCTATCGCTATATGCTGTGACCGCTATCGCTATATGCTGTGACCGCTATCGCTATATGCTGTGACCGCTATCGCTATATGCTGTGACCGCTATCGCTATATGCTGTGACCGCTATCGCTATATGCTGTGACCGCTATCGCTATATGCTGTGACCGCTATCTACTGTGATCAATACTTGCGGATACTCGGCTGCTGGCGGCGCCTATCCGGAAGGAGTGAGCTGCGTAGAGATGGGGAGACAGGTTACAAAGCAGCAGTACGGACTTTAGTTGGGCTCTGAACCCGTTGGATGACGTTGGGAGGTGATCGGGGGTGAGAAATAACGGTCCGTTGAGATCTCCTTTCCGAGAGCGGAGGCGAGTGTAATGCATCGTGGGTTATTTTTGCGCGCTGGGAACGTGAGCGTTCGCATCACGTTCCGTCGGACGCTGCGGCAGCGGAGAGTGTTTGAGAAGTGCGTGCCGCCACCAGAATCTTATTGCTTCACTTACTTTGCTTCGTATTGCTTTGCTGGGAGCTTGCGAGGAAGCCAGTAGGCGTTGTGCAGCCAGGATGGCGGACGCGTCTGGGCTGATGTAGGGCGGAGAAAGCCGAAGAGGACCAGCACCCCAGCTGTTGGAGAGGTGTGGGGGAGCCCCAGCGAGGCCGCGCGCGTGGCAGCGCCTATCCTGAAGGAGTGGGCTGTATAGAGCTGGGGAGACAAATTGCAGAGGAGCAGTAGGGATCTTAGTTGAGCTCTGAACCAGGTTGCTGTCATGGGAAGGTTGTCTGGAGAGAGATGTGTCGGAGCGAGCTATTATTATGTTGCAGGCGCCTTGGTCTTTGAATGTTTGAGATGAAGGTTGAAAGGGTCAGGGGACATTATGTTGGGTGAAAAAGAGCGACCTTTGTGTGATGCTTCCACTACGTCGAGATTATCGCGCATGACAGAGATCCTCTTTCTCTGCCACGTGTGATTCCACGGCGCGCAGGCCACGACCACTGGGAATATCTCGTGTAGGGCAGAGGAGATGCTCTGGTGGAAGTAGCGGCCACGGCCCGGCAACCCAATGGTCCTGGAAGAATCCCCCAAAACCCACGGAAGGGGCACGTCCGTGAAGAAGCGGAGACCTGTAGGGGCAGAGACATGTCGGAGAGGGCCATTGATGTTGCAGGCGCCCTTACGCTTTGAATCTTGGGTCGGAGAGTAGATAATCAGGATAGTAGGATGGTCGGGAAGCCGCGTCTCGGACCGCATGAAGGTTGAGCGAGCAGTAGTGAACGCTTATGCAGAGAAGTCATAGAAGGCGAGCAGGAAGATGCTGCGAGGAGGGCAGACATGTACTTGGAAGACGAGCCAGAGTTCAGTGCCGCTCAGAGCCGCTGCAGGATGGGCAGCACGATGGGGGAGCCTGCGATCAGAAGAGTGAAGAATACAGGTATGGATGCCTTTGATTAGGAGTCCGATTGACGGCTCAGCGCAGCTACTCGGCCGGCTGCATCTGATAGAATCAGAAGATTAGGTAGAGAGATGAAGCATGACCGCCGAAGCGACCCTGGGAGCATAGGTACGAGGCCAGCGCGGCGCGGCATACTCAGCCGGGCTGCATCCATTAGAAACAGGATAAGCTTCTGAGAGAGTGGGTTGCAGCAGTAGCGGTAGCAGCAGCGGCAGCAGCAGTACCTCAGATAATAACACGATAACCTGTATCAAGCCGCGGCAGCAGCAGCAGCAGTAGCAGCATCCTTAGAGATTACAGTAATAATCCTGTATCAAGCCACAGCAGTAGAATGTTGTCATAGCTGATCAGTGTTTCAGTAAAAGAGATGCAAGTGAAGAGAGATGGCAAGTAAATGAAGCAGCAGTAGTAGCGCAGTAGCAGTATGGAGCAGCAGCAGCAGCAGTAGTAGCCGTATGAAGCAGCAGCAGCAGTAGCAGCAGCAGCAGCTGCAGCGTCCGTAGATAATAACAGCAATGATCCTGTATCAAAGCCACGGCAGTAGAATGTTGTTGTAGCTGTTCAGTGTGAGGGATTTCAACAGGTTTTTTACGGTCCAAATGATTTAACAGTTTTACGGTCCAAGTGAGGAATTAACTGAGCCCGCAGTCCAAGTGAGGAGTTTAAACTATTTTTTTTTTTTTAAATTTTATTCATTTATTTATTTATTTATATTTATTTATTTATATTTATTTATATGTATTTATTTATTCATTTATTTATTTTTAAAATATAGCGTTCCAGATATAGGCAGTACCATATATGCAGTTCCATGTACTGCATAACAGTTCCAGGTATAACCGTACCATATGAGCAGTTCCAATATAGCGGTTCCATATATAAGCAGTTCCATATGAAGCAGTTCCAGATACGGTACAACAGTTCCAGATATAAGTAGTTCCAGATATAAGCATTTCCAGCTATAAGCATTTCCAGCTATAAGCATTTCCAGATATAGGCATTTCCAGATATAAGCAGTTCCGTGAGGGATTAACCTGAGAGCTCACAGACCAATGTAAGGGATTCATTTTGGGAACCGCAGTCCGAGAGAGATTTAAACAGCGCTTGCAGTCCAAAGAGAGGGATTTAAACAGAGCTCGTAGTCCAGGGAGGGATTTAAACAGAGCCTGCAGGCCAGAGAGGGATTTAAACAGAGCCTGCAGGCCAAAGTGAGGGATTAAAACTGAGAGCATGCGGTCCAATGAGAGGGATTAAAACTGAGGTCTTGCAGTCCAATGTGAGGGATTAAACGGAGCTTGCAGTCAGAGTGAAGATTTAACGGAGCTTGGTTAAAGAGAGCCTGCAGACCAATGCGAGGGCTTTAAACTGAAGCCTGCCCACCAGCACGGGGCCAACTGAGCCTGCAGGACAAAGCGAGGGGAATAAACCGTCCGCGGATCTCATACTTACCCACAGCGCCAGAAGACAAGGGACAACACGACGGGACCACACCGTACCGGCACGAGGAGGCAGGGATGCGCACGGCTCCCACCGCACCGGGCTAGACCGGCCGTATGCAGCAGCAGGCCGCGACGAGACAAGCAGCGGCAAACCCGCGGAAGAGCCCGCAAGGAGGAGAGCGGCAAAGACCCACGGACCACGGCACGAGACCCGCAGCAGGTGCAGCCACAGGAGGAGCAGACCACACGCAGCAAGACAGAGGACAGCAGGGACACGCACGAGTAAGCGTGAGTAGACAAAAGCGATTCCTCCAGAACGATTCTTTGCGAGGCTGAGGAGCTTGCGAGGCTTCAGGAGGCCGGTAGTGGGAGTTGCTCCGTTTGTATGCGGCTGCGAGTCGGTACAGATGATTGGAAGGGGGCGTCTGCTGAGCGATAGGCTGGGGATGAGAGCCGGCCTGGAGGGGGTAAATTTGGTTAACGTCTACCAAATTGAATTTTCGCGGGCTGCATTACATTGTGTATGAATTGTGCTTTACAAAGAGGCAATTGTGTGTGCGCAGTTCATACACAAAGCAACTCAAAGTGCTTAACAAAGAAATATAGAAATAACGATACAAAATCTGAAATTAAATAAAATCTTTAACTCTTATTATAAAATGAAGCAGTATGTTTGTATCTGAAGTGTTTTCGCACGTACAGCATCAACAACTATTCCATATTAGCACAGTTCC